CCTCCCACCCACCACCCCAGTCAGCAGTTAACTCTAGCAGACCGGTCTCTGCTGCCTCCTCTAATCAAGTTCCGCCAAGCCCCCTACAATTTCGGGCTGGACACCCCCTTTGCCCGACATTGCGGTTCTCCCCATTAGGCCTAGCCGAACCAGCGCGCCCTCCCGGCCTTTCCCCCCAACGGATCCCAGCGTCGCCGCAAAGCCCTCTAGGCCGAAGTCCGACGCTCCTCCCTACCAGGACCTAAAGCACCCCCTCCAACTTTCAACTCGCACCCCCCAATCAGACCCAACCGAGCCCCGCCGAAAGAGGCCCACACACACCCGATCGTCGTGACGTCCCCCAATCGGGCCCTAAGGAGTTCCCCAGACGCGTCCCCCAATCTGATCCCCTCCAGCCCGACCCCAGACGCCCCACTGGCCCGCCTCTCGCGGCACCCCGACCAGAGCCGGCACCAAGGCTCCACCCCCTCGGCTCAGTTCCCCCCCTCCCCCGCCCGGCCCGTTTTCCCGGCCTCGAGAATCCGGCCCAACCGGGTTCTCGGCCTTTCTGGGTCGGGAGCAGCCCGCACACTCCGGCCGCGCATGGCGCAGGCCCAGAGTCAGGCTAAGGTCGACGCAAGCCGGAGAGGAACGGGTTGGACTCTGAGCGAGGCCCACTTACCGGACCCCAGGAGGCAGCAGTGGCGCCTAGCGCTCGGGCTTCTCCAGAGACACGCGCGGAAGGAGGGAGCCCAAAAGAGGGAGTGAAAAAAAAAAAAAAAAACGCGCCTGCACATGAACCGCTGCGGCTTCCGTACTCGGTTCAAACTGGCCGTACCGGGCCACTCAGAAGGTGCAAGCACCACACGTGACCTGGCACTAGGTAGTCCCAGGCCTAGCGTTAGCCTGGTCACGTGATAGGAGAGTTGCTGCCTCTCTTGACTTCTCTGGCCAGTCGGTCCTCCCATCGTCTCGTTTTCTCAGCATCTCCTATAAGACTGACCGCAGTTCTTCGCTGGAGCCAAGAATGTAGCGCGCCGGGACTTTTAGTGTATGATGGACCCGCGAACTACCCGGTCAGATCCAGTGCGCCCTTACCGTCCCACTTCTTCCAAGAACTGGATCGATCCTCTTTCTCCCCATTCAGGAGATAATAACTGGGAGTCACCTACCTACACGTGCTCAAAAAACAGCAGAGGGACTGAGCCTGTCCAGAGACAAAAGAAGGAAAACTGGACAGGAATGCCTGAGAAAGCCCGAGTTTCTACAGAAGTCACTACCAACATGTTGTTATTTTCCACTGCTGACAATTTTATGAAATTTAAAAAGCTGCAAAGTTACAAATTTTTAAATAAAAATGAACCAAGAAACTAAAGCAGAAGGCCTCATCCCTTTCCCTACCTGCAGAGATGATTGATGGGATGAAACTTGTCCAGAAATTCAGGGAAGGGTAAGGCTATGAAGAAAGAAATCTTCATACTTTTTTCGTTTCTTTTCTCTTTTGTTTTTAAATCATGCTTCTTGCACTATCTGAAGACGACAGGTATTTTTTTCACTTCTTTGAGAGCAAGACGTTCTAGTAAAGAGCTAGTGACCAGGAGTGTCCCGGTTACTTTCCTAGCCCTCCTGATAATAAAGTGGGCGATCTCCAACTCCTCAGGTCTCCAGATTCCCCACCTATCAAATGAGATTAAGGGTATTTGCTGAAGGCTGAGCATGTGGTGCACGCTTCCAGTCCCAGCCCTGTGGGAACACAAGGCATGAGTATCAAAACTCCAAGCCCAACGGAGACTCAAACGTTAAGAAACGGGGAAGTGCTAAGGATATAGCTCATTGTGAAGGTCCAGGGTTCAATGCTCAGTACTAAAACAATAAAAGGATAGTTTGCACCATTAGTGATAATCAAAGTTCAGCACCCATTGCTACCCAGCCTTTAAATTGTTCTTGAAAAACGTGGGTTTCACTCCGCAAGGCTTGGATCTATCCTTTTGCTGCATTCAACCCCACCCTAAACCAGTATTTACTAAACCACGAAAGCTCTAATCCCAAAGGACAAGCCGACCATTCCCCGTGGGACTTTCTGATCTCATGAGAGGCACAGCCCAACGTTTGTCCCAACCTGAAGAGGAACAAGTTTCTCATCCCACTTGTTAGCAGAGGCACTCCTGACTCCGTTTATTCCTGAAAATCAAACACTGTAGGACCTCTTTGGCTAGGGAAGGGTTAGCTGACGCCTAATTCCGCTCAGGTCAAGGGTGGCTCCCTAAAGGTGCATCAGGTTTTCCAATCGCGATGGGCTCCGCTGGACAGAAGTCGGTGTTAGGCGACACGTGTGGAAACCGCCACCTGCGCAAGTGCAAAGCCGCCCAGCGCTAGAACTACAACTCCCATGCGGCCGCGCGCCCGAGCTGCTCCTGAGGTCCGGGAGAGACTCAAAAACCGTGGAGAGGGTGCGGAGGCGGGATCTCGAGCCCCACTGAAGTAGATGTTAAAAGGAAGAACTCTTGGGACTGGGTTGTGGGATTCCCAAGAGGAGTGTGAGGTGAGGTGATTTCTGTTCAAGTTTAGGCGTCGTCCCAAATAAGGGTAGATGTCAGCAAGTTTGGGACCCAACCATCTTCAGCTGTCCTTTTAATGTGGCAAGTTTGCAGAGGCCCTGCATAAGCCTTGGTAGTCAGAGCAGACCAGAGCAGCTGGTGCTGCTATCTCGTCCACTTTATCAGCCATGGTGTGGACAGGAAAGTCCGTTTTCCCAGCTAGACAATTTAAGTGGTAAAGCACAAGTTTCCCTGCCTCCATTTCCCTCTCTCTTCCACCTTCGACATGTGGCATCACTATATTGTCCAGGCTGGGCCCAAACTACTGGACTCAGGGGATCCACAGTGTAGCTGACTGTAAGTGGTGCAGCAACCGTCTCTCAATTATTTAAGCACCTATTATTGACTGTCAAATGGTTTCCAAATTCTCACAGCAATCCTGTGCATGGCAAATTACTGTTCAACTAGAAGTGCTCCATGAAAAAAGAAACTCGGGGAGCTGATCACTGACACGAAACGGGGAGACAAGGGCAGTCTTTACAGTACCCTCCCTGATCATCACACAGCACTCCAGGCTGTGGTGGCACACACCTATGATCCCAGTGCTGGGAAGGCTGAGGCAGGCACACTGATGTGAGTTCAAGGGCAGCCTAGGCTACGCAGTGAGACCCTGTCCCAGAAAAACAAAAGAAAATCAGCATTAAAAAAAAAAAAAAGCTTCCAAGATAGAGCTTAGGAGGTAGACTGTTAACCTACTATGAGGCAGAGTTCCTTCCTGAAAACCGCAGCCAGGCAAAAACAGTCCAGGAACACAAGCCTATTTATTCATCCGTCCAGTTGCACAATGATAGGGATGGGTTTCCAACGTCAAGGTTAAAATGCTATGAATATGGCTTCACTTTGTACTTTTTTGTGGTGCTGGAGATTGAACCCGGCGTATGCCAGGCCAGTGCTCTCTGAGCCATACCCCCAGCCAGCTTCCTACTTTAGAAACTGACTTTACAGAGAAGCTTCCGCCATCTGTAAAAATAGATGAAGGTCCCAAACCACAGAAAGGCTAAGTGATTTATTCAAGATCACACAGCCAACAGCACTAAAATAAATTGAAGCCTTGGCTGTGTGACTCACCAGCCCGATTCTCCTCCCCCTGTACTTTCTCAGGTCAGAGGAACACCTGAAAGAAGGCGCTGGACTTTCAGCTCCTCCTACCCCTTGCTGCTCCAGAATAGAGGCCAAGCTGCTTCAGGGACGACCTACTTCTCCCACTGGTGTTTCTTTTTAAAGATCCAGCGACTGCTTCTGGCTTTGGGGGAGGAAAAGACAGGGAAGGCTGCTATTACTTCCTGTGTTCCCTTCCCCCATCCCAGACCATCCTTAAGGCCAAAGTCACACCTAGGCCAACTCAGTGTTCCCAAAGACAGACCTTTGAGCCCGCATGAAAAAAAAGTTGCCTTGTGTTAGCAGGAAGTGAGAGGCACAGGTGTCCTGTTCCAAACTTTGCTTGGCCTGTCATCAAGCTAGTTAAACAGATAAAAGTTCTCCGCACCTGTTGTTCCTTCTGCCTTGGATGCTACAGACCATCCTCAGCTACCTCACTTCCTTCAGGACTTGAGACTCGTGTCACTTTCACAGGGAGGTCATCCCCAACCATCCTACTCTTGCCCCAGCTCCCACTTTGTCCTGGGACCTTGCCTGGCACAATATTTAACTGAGGTGTTTTGTGGATGGGCAGGGATTTTTGCATGATGGCAGCAGTTTCATCTTCTTGTAGGCAGGTGCAAGTATGTTGCATGGGTGAACACCGGCTGCAGACTGCACCTGGTAGAATCAGAGGTCATGAGCACCAGCCCTCTCGCAGTGCCAGTGCCTCCCCTTCCCCTGTACCTTCAGGCCCAGGCACTCTCACCTGGTGGCCACCTTCACCTCCCCTGGGACTCTGAGGGCAACTAAAATGACCAAGCCCCCACTCACTCACCCTGCCTCTATCCTACCGTCACCACTCAGAACACCTGTCGTGTTCCTCAAAGGAGGACTGTGGCTTCTCTGCTCACTGCTATGGCCCTCATGTCTGGAAAAGCCCTAGCATATAGTAAGTGCTGAATGAGAAACACAACAGGTTCGGCCCGGTCAAAAAGTGAGGTGTGTGTGGGTACATGTGTGCATGTGTATACACATGTGTATGTTGCTGGGGATGGAATCCATGGCCTTGCTCATGTCAGGCAGGTTAAACACCAGTGACCTTTCCAGTCACCGTGGGACTGTAGACACACAAAGGGCTTAAGGTCTTAAGGTGCTACCGAGCAAGTACAGTCAAGGAGGAAGGAGGCTGGCTCTGAGGTGAGTCCAGCCTGACAGGTAGGCTCCTTGTCCTCTCTCCCACTCACGCACCTCCATGTGGGCTGAACCCAGGTTAGGGTGGGCTGTGGTGCTGACAACAGGAAGGACTTTTGGTTTGAAAGTACAAATACAGACAAAGCACACAACTCCCGCACTAAATCAAGTTTTTTACTTCCCAGAAGTGATGGCTAAGGGCGGGGAGAGGAAGGGAGAAAAGGAAGATAGAGCCAGAGAGCAAGGAGGTGGAAGAAAGGGGACAGTAAACCACTGTTCTAGTAAGTCTCAGGAGGCAAGTGCTCAAGGTAAAAAAAGAGTCCTGGAGAATCGTCCGCGGCCGCGGGAAGCACCTCGGTTTCCTTCTGTGTATCAGTCCTCGGGGAGAAGGCTGCTGCCGCCACCGCCGCCGCATTAAATAGTTATGTACATCGCAGAGTCCCAGCCCTGGGCACGCGAGGAAGGGGTTCATTTCACTAGGGGCCGAGTTTTATCATCATCACCGCACTGGTGGGCTTTGTACTTTTTCACCTCTGCCATGTACTTGGCCCACGCGTCACCTTTACTTGTTAATACCTGTGGGGAATGGGGTGGAGAGGGGGAGGATGCCAAGGAGGCGAGGAACCTGGGTCAGGACTGTCCTGAGACAGCTGACCCATCCCCAGTATCACCCTGAAAACCCTGGGTTTGGGTCAAAAAAAGTCAAGTTACCAGGGACACTGCTGCGAGTCCTCTCACCCAACGTAGCACGCCCATCCCAGCAGGAAAGACACTGGCCAGGGAAGGGGAAGACGGCAAGGGAAGACCCCACCCAGCCTGCTCACCTCATCCTCCGTCTTCTGCTTCTTGGCTACTATTCCCGTCTTGAGGGCTAGTTTGTTCCCGCCTCTGCGTTTGCCCACCTGGGTGAAGGGACAGAAGACTGCAAGGGTTACAGGAGCCGGGCCTGGCCTTGGCGGCGCTGAGGCCCACCACACCTTCCTAGCCTGGCCTGGTGGCCTGTCCCGACGCCGTGCCTAGCTCCACCAGCCAGCCGACCTGCGCAGCAATCAGAGAGGAGCACACTCGACTCAGCACCTGCCCTGGGCCCACCATGCCCAGGCAGCCCTTTGCCCCGGCTGCCCTCCCAGGGAGCCAGAGGTGCACCAGCCTTGCCAAGGATAGTTCTATCCAAAATCTCTAGGCCAAGGCCTCATCTTCCCTTGGCAAGAACCACAGCTGCAGCAATAGCTCCTTTTTGAGCACTTATTGTATGCCAAGCCCAATGCCAAGTGCTATGAATCTGTCACCTCCTTCCACCCTCACAATAATCCTAAACCAAAAGTTATAAACATACCTATTTCATAGATGAGGAAACCTCTCCTTTGAGGACAGGTCATGCTGGTAACAACACAGCCAGACTCAGGGTGAAAAGGATCTAAGTCATTAGTGGCATCCTTAACCACCAAGCAACACCAATGCCCCTACAGCAAACCTAGCCTGCCTTTTTGAAGGACTCGGGCACAAAAGCCCCTTTATGGACACATGAAAAAACACTGCAACTATCACTGCTCACATATGGGGGGGGGGACCTCCTGAACTCCACTCTCAGCTGTCACACTAACTCCAATCCTGACAGTTATGCTCTTCCTCAAAGAGATGTCTCACTCTGGACTTTCACTCTAGGATCCCAACATCATGTCTAGACTGGGGGTTTCCTGTACTCTAGGGCTTTGATGGGCTCCATAGACATCATTTGGTCTACACCCCTCAACCAGGTGTTCGGCACTGCTGGTGGTTTTCTTTTTTTGTTTGTTTGTAGCTGCTGGTACTTTCATGCCTTTTTTTTTTTTTTGGTACTTTTATTCTTTTCATACAGGGTCTTATTATGCAGTTGGGACTCACAGTGGTCCTCCTGTTTCAGCCTCCCCAGCATTGGGATTACAGACATGCGCCACCATGCCTGGTTCCACTTAGTCCTGGGGCTAGCACAGCATGTGGTACTAGGGATTGAGCTCAAGACCTTAAGCTTGCCAGGCAGGCACTTAGACAGTCAAACTCTCTAAGCTATTTTCCTACCTTTTCTTTTCTTCTCAGACAGGGTCTCACTATATATAGTTCAGACTGCTCTGTAACTCACCAGGCTGGCCTTAAACATCTCCTGCCTCAGCCTCCCAAGTGCTGCGATTATAAGTAGGTGCCACCACACCTGAATCTTTCCTTTCTGTGGTGCTGGCATTGGACCCCAGAGTCTTAAATGCTAACCAGGCAATTTATCACTGAGTTACACCTCCAGCCCTTCCATCCACGTTGAACAGGTGAAGACACTCAGGATTTGAGAGGTTGGCTCACTTGCTGAAAACCAGACAGCTGGATCCAAGTGGTAACCCCTAGTCTATTATTCTCAAATCAACACTTTCCCTCTACAAACTATACAGTCTTGATCTCAACACCAAGCACAGAACAAGCTCAGGGTCTCACTATATATATATATATATATATATATATATATATATATATATACACACATATATATATACACACACATACACATACATGCGTGCGGTAGGGGGATCTGCAGAGCCACATCCCCCATAACCTTTTATGAGACAGGTTCACCAAATTGCCCAGGTAGGACTTGAACTTGTGATCCCCCTGCTTTAGTCTCCCAGAGTGCTGAAATTATACGCATACACAATTGTGCCTAGTTTACCCCCTTTTATTTACCGTAGAGCTCCTCTACCTAGCAGGAATAAAATCGAGCTGGATGGGGGCAGAGGAGGGGGTTGCTGTCCCATGTATTGTAAGATGTTGAGACAAGGTCTCACTATGTGCTTCAGGCTGTCCTTGAACTATGTAGCCCAGTCTGGCCTTGAACTTGCACTCCTGCCTCAGCCTCCCAAGTGTGCTGGGATTACAGGTGTGTTGTTACCACGCCAAGCTCCCCTAACTTTAACCACCAAAATGTCTCCAGAGGTTGTCAAATGTACCAGTGGAGTGGGGAAGGTCCCCAGCTGAGAATCGCTGGTTTTTTGTTTTGAGAACTAATGGCTTAGCCCTTCCTGTAAGACAGTTCTGAAATAAACACTAGAACACTACATCAGAAGATGCAGCTAGGACAGCCCTGAAGCTCCAGAGATCTTATCTGTCAAGTTCAACCTTGCATACCCAGCACCTAAGACACCGTGAAGCGCTCAATAAACGGACGCTGGTTAAACGAAATGCACTTATTGTATGTCACGCTCTTCCTAAGGTCAATCAATATGGGGTTTGAGTCTAGTCAGAACAAACTCAGGGTTGAATTTTCCCCTCATTTCCACAGTACCAAGATCCAAAGTCCGGGTGCCGCTCTTACAGGAATTTTGGAACCCTGACGTCTCTACCCCCGGACTGCAGCTTCAATACAATCACCCAGCTTTTGGTTCCCGCGGGCAGGATCTGGGAGTGCCCGTCTCCGCCCCAAGCCCCTTCTCGTTGGGAATCCAAGCTCCACATCCTCCTCCGCGTATACCATCGACTGCCCTCGCCCAAGCGGAGGCGCGGATCCCGACCCCCTTCCCGGGCCTGGTTCCCCCGCCAGGCCCGGCCCCGGCGCCCGCCCCCACCCCCGCGGCTCCTTACGAAGCTGAGTGTGGGGCCTGGGCCGCCCTTCCTCTTCGGGCCCCCGGGGCCCGTGGCGGCGGCGGCCGGCTGGTCGGGTCGCTGCGAGCCCGGGGGCGGCTCCTCCTGCCGCTGCCGCTGCTCCTCCTCCATCTTCCGCTTGAACAGCTCCAGGAAGCTGCCGTCGTTGGCGAACAAGTTCACGCCGCCAGACACCGGGCTCGAACCTGCGCCCGACACATCCTCGTCCCCGCTCTCGGGTGACGTCCCAGGCCCCGACTCAGCCCATCGGCTGCCGCCGCCGCCCGCAGGGCCTGGCGCCTCCCGGCCCGGAGGCTCCGCCCGTCTCCCTCGGGCAGCCATTTTGTCGCCAGGTGCCGCGCAAAGGACTCCGGGAAACCTGCTCCAGCCCGGCGTTTGGCGCCCGACTAGCGGCGTCCGGAACAATGCATGCCGGGAAAAGCCGTCAGGACTGAGACGCCGGGAAGGGGGCGGAGAGAGGGGCGGGGTTAAAGAGCGTCCCGCCCCATGGGTTTTTATTATCCACCCCTGCGACTTAGACTGGCCTTAAATTGACAGGTATGCCAGAAAGTGGAGACATCTATAGGACGAGGGGTGTAGCTGTCTTTCTGAATTGAGCTTCTTGCTTGAAGTTGGGGATGCACTAGCTTTTTAGGGCTCGAATCTTCGTCTGCCACCAAGGTTACTCTTTCTGAGTGAAAGACCCCTTTGTGTGTCAGTTGTGTCTTCAACTGACATATGGGCACTAGAATAGAGCTGGTTCCATGGGGCTGGGGTCACCGTCTGAGAATAACATTTTTTTAACTGGAGTACTCAAACTGGGACTCCGCCAATGCCCTGGGACCCAGCTTGTATTGCTATCCCCAGAGGAGCGATTGAAAAATGAATTCGTTGAAGTTGGGGTCTCCATTTGAATATGGAGTTAAGTGCAAGATATCCGATGCCGGGCGGTGGCGCACGACCGGTAATCCCAGCCCTCAGGAGGCTGAGGCAGGAGTAGCGTTGCAAGGTCGAGACCAGCCTGGGCTACAAAGTGAGCTTAAGGCCAGCCCGAACTGCACTGCGAGACTCAGTTTCAAAACAAGACACACACACACACACAATCGGGAATTAAAGACCCTTCTGCAAGAGCGGTTCCAGCGCGTGTGCTTAGAGCATACTGAGCAAGGATCTGACCACCAAGCCACCAATTGCAATCGTTGACCCCTTCTCTACTTTCAGCCGGGGACCTACCTCCAAATACATATCAAGTTGTCCGTGACTGGTTTGCTGCAGGAGTCAGAAGACTCGGCCAACGGAGTAACGGAGGGGGCGGACCTGAGGCAATGGTGCAATCCCACTTGGCGAGGGGAAAATGATAGACACAAAATTGAACCTATAGAATGGAGCCAGGGCGGACCTCCCCTCGAACTTCTCTGATAGGACTTGGACTAGGTGTTTGGCTGGTTGCTAAGGAGAGGTTGGCGGCTACAAAAGGGCAAGCGTGACTGGTGGAAGTAAGGAAAGATCCATCCAATGAAAAGACCTCTACTGGACTTAGGGCCCAATCAGCGAAGGGGGATAGTCTGAGCCGTACTAATATGTTCATTACGCGGGGATGGCACTTGGATAATAATAGACAAGAAGTAGACAAGATAAGCCCTAGGGACGTAAAACGGTAAATGCAAAACTTCTACTTTCGCATAAAAGTTAGGTTATGAGGAAACAATTCATGCTTCTTGCCTCGGCGGAGATGTTGTAGACAAAGTTCCCCTGTGAGCCTTTTGCTTGGTGCGCTCCTATCGATCACGTGAGCCGGCTCCAAGATGGCGGCGGGGGTGGCCGGGTGGGGGGTTGAGGCAGACGAGTTCGAGGATGCACCTGACGTGGAGCCGCTGGAGCCCACGCTTAGCAACATCATTGAGCAGCGCAGCCTCAAGTGGATTTTTGTCGGGGGCAAGGGCGGCGTGGGAAAGACCACCTGCAGGTGAGGAGGCTGCCGTGAAGGGCGGCAAGAAAGCGGTGGGATGTACCACGGAGCGAAGGGAAGACCAGAAACCGGCTTTTCCACGGCAAGCCGGAGTCTTCTGGGTTGTACCCTTCGTCAGTTACCTGCAACTTACTGAAAGTGCCTCTGGAATTGAGGCCCTGAGCTCTTGAGTTGGACTGTCGCTGTTGGGGCTCAAGTATAAAACCTCAGTGACTGCAGCACGTGGGGAGGCAGGGGCGCACTTAGATGTTCCAGTGGGCTCCACCGTGCCGAGTGATCTCGGAGGAGCAAGAATACAGCTAGTCTGGTGAAGGATTAGGAGTGGAAAGTGTGGGAAAGGAACAGACTGTCTCAGTCCTCCGGGAAGGGTCCCTGGAGCAGTTATCTTAAACAAGACAGCTGAACCATCGTGCAGTTGGCAAGAGGTGCAAGGGAACTCTTAGCTTAGAATTGAGGAAGAGGGCAGAGGCAGACTCTGCCAGCTGGGCCTACCATTCGGTGCTCCGCAAAGAAGGAGTTAGCACCAGGCCCACCTGATCAGTAAAGTGAACCTCACTTAGCCGTTTAGGCCAGATGGAGGGCCCAGTAGTAAGTGAAGTATGAAAGGGTTCCCTACAGGCATTAATCTTGATGCCACAGTGAACTATTTGGCTTCTTAAAATTGCTGATCTAGGGCCCAGGGAGATAGCTCAGTTGAATAAGCACGTGCCTGGCAAGCCCAAGGGCCTGAGTTCAATCCCCTGTTCCCAGCAAAAAAGAAAAAAGAAAAAAAATTGCTGATCTATGCTGGGGCATGGTGGTGCATGCCTATAATTCTGACACTTGGAAAACTGAGACAGAAAGATGTCAGCAAGTTCAAGGCCAGCCTGGGCTACATAGCAATATCCTATCTCAAAAAAGAGAGAGACAGACAGACAGACCCAGGTCTCTGGTTCAGGAATTCCACATTTTCCCCGAAGAGCTCAGTCCCCTTACTCCCCACCTTTCCACCTGTCCTTTGTGCAGCTGCAGCCTGGCAGTCCAGCTCTCCAAGGGGCGTGAGAGTGTTCTGATCATTTCCACAGACCCAGCCCACAACATCTCAGATGCTTTTGACCAAAAGTTCTCCAAGGTGCCAACCAAGGTTAAAGGCTACGACAACCTCTTCGCTATGGTAAGTGAAGCAGAGCTGAGCTCTTCACTGCTAGGAGAGGCTGCTTTTAGCTTCTCTTAAGCATTCCCAACAGTAGTCACCATGTCCTGCCCATTCTGTATCTAATCTGTCTCCAGTTTCTGCCCTTCCCCCAATATACCCACAGAGGAGCAAGTGAGAAATGTTTGAAGGGCAGGAAGGAGGCAGGAGTGGCTAGAGCTAAGCAAGCAAGGGAAACTGCAAGACCAGCCAGAGGCACATGGTATGGGACCAGGCAAGTCACAGTGAGCAGTTGGACTTTCATCCAAAAATTCAGTGGGAAGCTGTTCATTCTAAACAGCCCATTGTCGTGACTAGATTCATATTTGGAGAAATTTTCACTACTGCCTCATGGAGATTGGATTGTAACAGTAGTTAGATTTGGGATGAATTTTGGAAATAAATCAGTGAGATTACAGCAGGGCGTGGTGGCACATAACTGTAATCCCAGCACTCTGGGAAGTGGAGGCAGGATGATCAGTACAAGTTCTTGACCAGCTCAGGCTACAAAGTGTACTGTAGGCCAACCTGAACTGCTTACTGAGACCCTGTCTGAAAAAGACAGAAGAGAGAGAGAGAGATTGAGAGATTGAGATTCATTGAAATAGAGAAAGAAATTAATTAAATCCCTTTCATTTTTCCCCCTAGCAATCAGGATGGGGAAGATGAGGAGAGGAACAGGTGTAGGAGAGACAAATCAAGAATTCTCAGATTGGGGCCGGGGAGATGGCTCAGTGGAATAAGCACTTCCCTGGCAAGTGCAAGGGCCTGAGTTTATCCCCAGTTCCGCAAAAAAAAAAAAAAAAAAAAAAAAAAAAAATTCTCAGACTAAGCACCTGCTTAGGCAAGTGCAGGGACCAGGGTTCAATCCCTGGTACCGCATGCCACACTGGCCCTGCCTTCAGGCATTCTTAGCCAGTGACTGAGTCTAGATGTGGTGGCACAGGCCTGTAATCCCAGTGCTGGGGAAGCTGAAAACAGGAGGACCACTATGAGTCCAAACTGCATAGTGAGACCCTGTACCAAATACATAAATGACCAAAAAAAAAAGAATTCTGTCTTGGGGGCTAGGGAGATAGCTTGGTGATCCAAGCACCTACCTGGCAAGTGCAAGGACCTGGGTTCAATCCCCAGTACAGTATACCATGCCTACTGGCCCCATGTGGTGGTACACGCCTGTAATCCCAGTACTGGGGAGTAGGATCACTATGAGTTGGAGCTGTATAGTGAGGCCCTATACCAAACAAATAAGTAAATAAGTGGTTTTAAAAAATAATAATTCTGTCTTGTCCACGGTAATTCACACGCGCACACACACACACACACACACACACACAGATGGGTCTATTTGGACATCTGTGTAGTAATGACAGTATCTTGGCTATGTGAGCCTGGAGTTCAAAGGAAGTTGGCACTGATTGTTTTAGATTTTTCTGCTTGTTTTTCAAGACAGGGCTATGCAGTTTAAAGTGAACTTACTATGTAGCAGGCCAGGCTGGCCTCAGATTTTCAGTGATCCTCCTGCCTTAGCCTCCAAAGTGCTAGGATTACTGTTGTACATCACCAACCCTGGCTGACACTCGGCTCAGCTATTACCTGGCTCTTAAGTAGAATGGAAAGTCATTTTCCCAAAGGTAGCTTCTTGCTTTGTTTTGTCTTTTGGAGACAAGGTCTCTGTATATTGCCTAGGCTGGCCTCAAAGTCCTGGGCTCAGTTGATCTTCCAGCCTCATCTTAATAATAGCTGGGTCTATGGGTGTGTCTGAGATAATACTCTGGGTTGTGTGTGTGTGGAGGAGAATGTGAGAGGACAAAGTGGCCTAGAGACAAGCCCGTGGTTATATGGGCATTTAAGGCACAGCGACAGGAGTGAAAACCAGGAAAGGGGCCTGAAAAGAAGCTAGTGGTGAGGTTGGAGGAAGGCCAGGAAAGCGGGGTCCTGAGCCTTGGGAATGTGCAGAGTCTCAGGCAGGAAGAGGTCATCAGCTTTCAGGTTTTGGAAGTGAACACCAGGGAAGTGGGAGCAAAGTCTACCTTGGGTGGGTGTGGTGAGGAGGGTGAGATGATGCCTGTCATGATGGGCCATCCATCTGTCCAGAAATGGAGTCTTTACTGAGGAGACATAGGGATAAGGAAGGCTTTGAAGGCGGGGGTGTCTCTGTATTGCTCAGGCTGGCCTTGAACTCCTGGGGCTGGGGTTGCATGATCCGTCTGCCTGGCCTCCTGAGCACCTGGGGTTCCTGGCACAGACCACTGTGCCCTGCTGAAAAGGGCCACTTTGAGAAAGGCAATGGTAGAGCCTGATTGTTTGCCAACAAGGGATGCCAGCTGAAGGTGAGCCTCAGGCAGGATGAGCTCCATGCAACACACAGATCTAGAGCCTCGCCTCTGCCAGTGTCAGGGGCCAGAGAGTAGCAGAGGGAGATGAGCGCTGGCAGCCAGCGGTTTCTCTTAGCAGTGAATAGGACAGAAGTTTCAGGAATGGAAAGATGTCAGGTTAAGAAAAAAAAATCTTTGTTTTTTTCTCCCAGTGGTGCTCAGAGTTGGATCTAAGGCCTCACACATGCTAAGCAAGTGTTTTACCACTAAACTACACCACAGCCCTCTACATAAACACTTCTGAGCGTGGAAAGAACACCAGAGGATTTTTTTAATGTATGTAGTACAAGGTCTCACCACATAGATCAGACTCTGTGATCCTCCTGTTTTCAGCCTCCCAAGTGCTGGGATTACAGGTGCACACCACCAAGCCCAGTCTCAGTTATGTCTCAGCATGCCCCGGGGGCAGGACCAGCACTGCAGCCCGGGGTTGCCAGGGATCAAACCCTGGTCCCTGCAAGAATTGTCTAGCCTTTTGAGTGCCTGTGGGAAGTCTGAGGCCAGGAACAGAGATTGGGTGGGAATGACTGGTCAGCAGTGTTCCAGCCCCAGGGTGCAACCCTATAAGAGAGCTGGGGATAAACAGAGCAAGTAGGAGTCCTTCAAGCCAGAACAGGAAGAGGGAGCATTCGCAGACAGAACCTACAAGCCCAGTGTGGTGCCACACATCTGTCACCCCTGAACCGTGGGAGGCTGAAGCAGCTTAGGCAATGCAGTGACTTAACGAGACCCTGTCTCAAAATTTTTAAAAAGCTGGGAATGCGGTGAGTGCAAAGGTCCTGAATTCAGTCTTTCCTATGGCAAAGAAAAAAAAAAAAAAAAGGCAACAGCAGCAACTTACGGATCCTGGGCTAGATAACACTGCAAGCCAAGAGGAGCAATGACAGTAGGGGAGTGGAGGGGGTAAGGTAGCCCACAGAAGTTTAGAATAACAGGCTGGTCAGCATGGCAGTGCGCCCATTATCCCAACATTTGGGAGGCTGAGGCAGGATGATCAAGGCCAGACTGGGCCATGTAATGAGTGGAAAGTCAATGTGAACTACTTAATAAGATGCTGTGTCAAATAAAAGGAAGGATCTGGAAGCAATCAGGAGTCCAGTGTCTTAAAGCAAGGTCCAGACAGGGAACAGCTATGTAAAAGCCTGCTGCTATTGGAGCTTGTTTCAGGGTCCCGTTCCCAGTCCGTATTTGTCCACGTATCTATGAAGGCTTGACCATTTATGTGACATCACAAGACCCCACATCCCCAAGGAGGGCTGACACCTAATGAGGGCTCTGGTCAGAGGGATGCTCCAGCATCCTGGGCACCTCCTTTCCCCCGGTCCCCAGGAGATCGACCCCAGCCTGGGTGTAGCTGAGCTGCCTGATGAGTTTTTTGAGGAGGACAACATGCTGAGCATGGGCAAGAAGATGATGCAGGAGGCCATGAGTGCCTTCCCGGGCATCGACGAGGCCATGAGCTACGCAGAGGTCATGAGGTCAGGCCTGGCATATGGTGGGGTGGGGCTGCGGGGGGAGGATCGGGACCTGGTGGCCTCATGCCCTCTCTCCCCAGGCTGGTGAAGGGCATGAACTTCTCAGTGGTGGTGTTCGACACGGCACCCACGGGCCACACGCTCAGGCTCCTCAACTTCCCCACCATCGTGGAGCGGGGCCTGGGCCGCCTCATGCAGATCAAGAACCAGATCAGCCCTTTCATCTCACAGGCATGTGGGGCCAGGCGGGGAGTGAGCCCCAAACTCGCCGCTGTCACACTCTCCTACCCCACAAACCCCTCCTCCGTCGGCTCTGTGTTCACCCCAGGTGGGAGGGATCTGCATGGTCATAGAAGGAGGGCGCCCGGCCCCACCCATCTACACAGTATGGCAGGCTTTGTGGCAGTGCTTCCCCAGGCTTGGTGACTGCCTGCAAGCTGCTTCCTCTCTCTGAGCCTCACCTTCCTTACCCTGAAAAGGATTTTGGGTTTCACAGTGGGGGGTGCTGTTTTGTTTTACTGAGACAGGGTTTTGCTATATAGTCCAGGATGGCCTTGGCTTACTATGTGGCTCAGGCTGGTCCTGAACTCAGAGTGCTCCCCTTGCTTACTGCTTCCATGTGCTGGGATTCCACATGTGGCCAGCATGCCTGACCTTTCTGTCAAGCCATGATTGATTGCAAGAGTGAGCATGCACATCGTTATTACTGTGACACCTCAGCACATCCCCAGTCCCCTCCCCATGGGGAGCAGGTGGTGCCCCACCCTCACGTAGAACATTCACTTAGAGCCTGCTGCATGCCTGGCAGGACCCATGGAGGGCACAGACCTTCATGCTCTGTGCCCACTCATGGAGCACTAGGGGAGAAGGATAACATGAGAAAACTGAGGCTGCAGGAGGTCAAGCCCTGTCACCACCAAAATGGCAGAGCTGGGATTGGATGGGTATGGGGAGTGTGCCCCAACACCCACCCCTGTGGTCAGTGGGAGGTCGAAGGAGTGGTTCCCAGTTGCCTGCTCTTCTCTCTTCTCTTCTCTTCTCTTCTCTTCTCTTCTCTTCTCTTCTCTTCTCTTCTCTTTTCTCTCTCTCTCTCTCTCTCTCTC